GCTTTTCACTTGGATTTATTACTAATCCTGAAACAAAAAGCGACCATTTTCTAAGACAGGAGGACCCTATGTAGCTGTTTACACACCAGAAGAGCCATATTCTGCTGTGAGAATGCAAATACTTGATTCTGATGCATTTTCAGTCTCACAGCTGAAAGGCAATCTTCACAAATATGGATATTACACTTCAAAATAAAACATCTGACCCTTCTTTGAGTGCAAAGCTCCATTTCATCATATTTTAGATAAAATAAGTCACTTTCTGTGAGTCTCTCAGTCACCTGTAAGGGTGTCTAATACAGGTATCTCATATTAGACAAGGAACTTTTAAGTAATAATGTAATTGACRGGCCATTGTTGAATTTTTATGTATAACTGCATTACTGACAGATGAGCAGTGAAGAGAAAAAAATTCAGTACTGACATGTAGTCCCYAATTCAGGAACAAATATTTAAAAGTAACCCTACAGGTTACTTTTAAATAGGGCTACAGGCCCTGTTTCAAACCTAATTCTGAACCTTGTGAAGGCAGATGAAATTGTACCACTAACTTTACTAATCTGAATCAAGCTTTTACAATGATAGACACAAAAAGGATGTTGTAAGTATTACAACACTTCAACTTATCCGATCAAACCCCCTAGAACTGAGAGCCCTGAATTGACACCTGGACTCTCTATACATTTTAAGGGTATAGATATGTAATGACTTGTTTTCTACACAGTACAAGAAGTCAACAAAAAACTTTAGGTGCAACTGTCCCCTTTTTTTCTACGGGTGAGTGATTAAAATACTTCCAGTCTCTAAAAACATGCCTTTTATTTAACTACAAAAATGCAGACAGAGGGGCCAAGAGAAAGAATGGTGCTTTTCAATTATTAGTACAATATTCCTATTCCTCTTAATCAACATTGACACAGAACAGCCTTAGAAACCACTGGCAGGAAAAAATGAAAGTGACAGACTTGAAGCACAAAACTATGCATCGAAGTTTTGTACATTTTACCTCCAGCTCTGCATTTTCTCCAAAGCCGGTACTCTGTGGACTTACCATTAAACAATGCTAATATAAATTTTGAAATTTACTTCAAGAAGAAAAATCCTATATTGTACATATTCTATTGTACATGAATAGTGACAAATTCCTCATCTGGGGTAGCTTGAAAAATCAGCTTAACTTTTCTGAAAGACCCCCTATTACACTTAAAAATGCCATAGTAATTGCCTTTTAAAATAAAAGTGAATGCTGCACATACACAATAAGGAAAAAGCAAATTTTGGGGATAGTCATCCTTTACAAATTTCAGACAGTGTGTACTTGTCTGCGTAGGTAGAATAACAAGTCACATAGCTTTCAATTAACTGTAAATTCATCATCTCTTTTGTTAAAGAGGTTGTGGATATCAGCAGAGAAGAAAATGCTGTCTGTCTTTCAGATAAAAGAAAGATGAAGCAGGCTCATTCCCCAGGATYGAATGGGGAATCTTGATTTGGAAAGCCCTCTCACACGCAGAGTGGCCAGAGGGAAAAACAAGAAGGGGGAGGGCTGCTGCCAGTGCTGGCTGGGAGACTCCTAAGGAAGAAAAGAGAGTTCATCTAAAGCAGGACACAAGTCCACAGTGCAGGCTCAGGTAACCCATGGAAAGTTCCCTAGAATTTCCCACAGAGGACTGTATGGAAGTGCTTGAATCAGAAAGCCACTGAAGGTTGCTGGGACAGACTGTAACGAAACAATTCTTCCTGCAAAGATGCTGTTTAMAGGAGAAAGTTTATTTTCTTTTATTTTTATTAAGCTTTTCTGCCCCACCCAGCTGATCCAAGTTTCCTCTGCAGGTCTGCAGGTAATCCTCAAGTTAAAACTCAATTCCCAGGGAAAAGAGAATAATGTCCTATCCACCAATACAGCCCTAAGGAACACAGAAGGGTGCATTTGTTTTTCTATTTTCTATTTCACCTTCCTCTCCTTTCTTTCTTTCTTTTTTTTTTTCCCCTGAGAGAAAGGGAAAGATGAAGCAGACGGAAAGAACATGGGGATGACRTAACTGCACAGAGGTCATCAACACAGCTTTTAGAGGACCTGCAGGATAAAAGTGATCGTCTTCTACCTAAGTGAACAATCAAATGCAAATAAAAGTAATTTTTAGTCAATGCAGTGGCTTCTGGGGGGAGAAGCTAAGGGACACATGGGCAAGTTTAGCAGAGACAGAACCTGCTTGAAGAAAGGAAAAGAAACCTTTCAAAATTCAGGAGCACATGAATAAAAGCAGAAAAACGTTGGGGTACCAGAGGAACATGGGGTACTGTGCATACGAGATCACAGAAACCAAGGAAGAACAAAACAGGCAATATCAGTAGTGGGTCTTTCCCTCAGCTGTGGCACTGCTGGGAGAGAGAAAAGGCTGAGAAAACTCTCCTTGGTGCACTCTTGGGAAGCAACAAAGATTGTGTCAAAGACTGCACACTATTTTATGCAAACAAGAGCCCTGGAAGGACAGCGAAAATAAATGTAGTCTAGTCTGTGACCAGGGAAGCACCTAGGCAGTATGTTCAAGGAGGGAAAAGTGGGTGCTGCATTACCTATTCCAGTACTCAATAGTCCAGATTTACCATGTTCTTGTTTGAGTGCAGTTTAATTTGGAGGGAGAAACATGAGTATGTCCACTGTCTTGGCCAAGGGACACATGACACATGGCAAAAGCAATAAAGGAGAAAAAAGAGGGTCCTTTTAAAGACATGGAGCCTGAAATGAAACCCAGGAAGAAGACCTCACTAAAAATAAAGAAAATGTTGCTATGGGGATACCTCAGATAAATTATAAGAGAAGCCTCACACCAATCTTTAGCAATATAACAACACAGTTGATAGATCTGTGTGAAAAACAAAACAGATTGGTCAATTCAATGAAATCTAGTATGAAACTTCTGGCCRTTTGAGAAAAGGGTCTTTTTGTTTGTTTTGTAGCTCAGTATAGGTGAGTTTGGATTTTAGCAAGCTTTCTGATATATTTTCCAGGTGCCTCAACACTGATTTATGGGCTGCTTGGCAGCAGCAAAATTAAATATATCATTCTCTGGCACATTTCAGTAAAAAAATGTCAGCCGGGGAATGGAATGACAGCACCACTGAAAAGAAAGCTTTATATAGGCATTAAAAAAAACCCAATGAACTCAATTGTAGCTATGTAACTTTACTATATATACAGTTGGAAAGCTCTCCTTTAAAAAAGGTTATCTTATGGGGGAAATTCCAGCTTGTAAAGTAGAGTTTGCCACCACAAGAATCTGATGCAGAAAAAAAAAATCATAAAGAGAAGAGATAAATAGCATGTCAATTCTGCCTAGGCTGAAGGATGCTTGAGGAACTGCCCTGATAAAGCACAAGYGCCTTTAGAGGCTTCCTGTGCATAACAACAGCTAAGGCATCCTGCAATACGTGGATGTGTAAGATCACAAAAATGAATGGATTACAACAYAAACTGAACTCCTTGACCACTGCTGATGTTTAGCATTTCTAAAAATCAGATCAGTGATGGGCCCTATTTGCTAAAAAATACTCGAGAACAAGAGCAGTAATGACYGCTATTACTGTTTCTTTGAAGTTCAGTGATGAAAGCCAAAGAAATGAACATTCAAAGATCACAGCTGAAATGGTTCAAGAATTACAGTCATAACTCTCTTGTCATATTGGCATGTTTGGACTGTTTTCAAGCTGCAGCAAATTACTATTGCAATTATGAAATACAATTTTTCAGAACATCCCTACAAATAACATAAATCGGAACAGCACTCAACAGCAATTAGTAGTTGGCTAGGTAAGTAAATATATTAAGTTATTATTTTCAACAGACTTTTCTCACTTTTTWAAAAATTCATCTTTGCTTCTATCATGGGTTCTTTAAGAATTTAATAAAATATGAAAACGTTGAGCTTGTGCAAATTTACTATCCATGATTTGCCTAGTACTTTGAATGGCACATCAGATTAAGACAGTTCAATTTTACATGTATACTCTTACATTCCTAAAAGAAATTTGCAGATTTGGGAACATTAGTACAATGAGACACTCCTCCCAATATGAGAGGAAAACAACATTGCCTTGTTTTAACAACTTGCAGAGCACTGCTGCAATGAAACATTAACCCTAAGATAGCATTGGATACATCATGATCATAGTATCTATTTGTATAATTCTGTAATTAAAGGAGGGGAGAAGTATGCTGTAATGATAACAAACCAACAAGTTAGGAAAAATTAACAGAAAATATGCTCTCAATGTACAGAAGTTGAAATAATTTTGTCATGATTGTTCAAATAGTTAAAAATTAAGGAAGTGATTATTTTTCAAATACAGAATGTGAAAACAAAAGCTCAATGACACACAGTGTTTGGATGAATTTTAGATAAAGAAACCCACCAAAAGCCTAAATAAAAATAAAAAAAATGTCCAACCCCCTGAGATGTGTGCTTACCCTATGATCAGAATTCAGGGGCAATAATGATMATTTCCTTAATTGCATATTTGTCTGTGAATCAAGAGTCTCCCACTTCTCTTGCTGGAGCTACTAACCCGCCCAGTAAATTCCTGCAACCACCTTAAAATTTTAATGACTTTTTATKTCATGACTCCAAAGTTACTTGCAATAGGTAATCTGAGGATCAGGAGGGGGTGCTCTGCTTAGTTCCTTGATCTGGCAGATGCAAGYACTACTGCCAGCCTCAGAATGAAGTGCTAACACAGAACAAAGCCATTGCTTCTCTTACAGACATTACAGCATGAGAGATCAAGAAACATTGCATGATGTTTAATTAATTTAACAATTCCTTGATATATACCAGCAAGCTGTCACATAAAATCTGAATATGACACACTACAGAAAAAAATTAAAGAGATTGTTCTAGAAATGTGAGAATAATTTTCATTGTGCTCATTCTGCTGCGAACTGGAAAGAAAAAAAAATCCCCAAACCCACAGAATATATAGATGGTTTGGAAAGAACATACCTATTAGCTCTTTATTTCTGACATCTAAGGCCATGTTTCGTAAAGCTGTAGCCACTGCACATACCACCCGGTCATTGTCTATCCGAAGCAGCTCCACCAAGATGGGCAATCCTTTCTCCTTGCGAACGGCAGCGCGGATGTACACGGACCACTRCAAAGACACACAAGACAGAGTGGGAACAAAGTGAGTTTGTTTTKTTCTTGTGAGTTTTCCACCACAGAAAGCCAGGCAACTGAGTTTGCAACTGAGTTTACAAGACTAAGGGGTAACAGAAGCATTTGGATGCAAAACTCATAAGAGGGGAAATAATCACATTGATGATGCTAGGCAACCACTTGATTTGGCAATCCGCACTCATTTTTTTTTTTGTGGTGACAGAGAAATTAAATGATGAATTGACTTTACTCCCAGCACACCTGGTTACATTTCCACAGCCCAAGTCTGCGGATGACTTACTTAGCATCAGCATTTTGTATGCAACATCTAATGATGCTTGTTTGCTGCTAAACCAACTACATTTATATTACAAAAGATGTATTACAATGCAAGTTCAAGAGGCCTGAGTATTTCTTTGTTGTTACCGTACGAATTATTCAGTCTACAAACATGAAAACGTTTTTATCGTATCTCTTGTGATTGTTAACTTGTTTAGAAGGAAAATTGAGGACAGCTACATGCCTGGTTTTGGCACCTGTAGTGATCCTAACTGGAATACTGTTGGACACCGAAATGTTAGAGATTCCCTCAAGAGCTGACCTCAGTGCAGTGCAGGTCTGTGCCTGGCTGCAGGTATCCCACGGATGCAGGATAAACCCAGGGGCTCACTCTATCAGCAAAGCCCAAAGGCATCTCCCACTTGACAGCTGGTGATGACACCACTGGGCACAGCCTTGTCTTTGCATCAAGGTGAGCAGTCTGTTCTCATGTAAACATCCTTTTTATCTGGCAGTAGAAATKATGAATAGAGTTGTTTACTGCTAAAAAAAAAAAACGTTTAGGAGCTCTAAAGATTATCATGCCAGTGGACAAGGGATCTGTGCAGCGTGCTGTGACTAGGAGGTCCATCCAGTGCTGCACAACTTGGGGTTCCCAGGACACRAAGGGATGGAAGATTAGCTATAGTACTCTCTTTTCCATTCCACTGTTATCTCCAGCAGTTGCAAAACATGTAAATAAGACAGCAACTGTGTGACCTTGTKGGCTTGAAGTATATAGGTATTGCCAAAGTTAAGATGTTTGGACACCTGCACGATGTACAGGTCTCCTCAGCACAGCCCACTTCAAAACAAGCCATCCCTAGGCACACATTCCTTCCCACTTCATGATCTCTTCTCTGGAATTTTCATAAAGTTCACATTCATGCTTCTTGCACTGACAGTTGAAAGGAAATCACTGGAGCAGAGCGTCTTCCTCCTTTCAGTGCTATGGCATGGATGTTTATCTTGCCATTGTACCTGGAAGGTGAAGACAAGTTCTGGAAGGCCTTGGCTTTTGAAATATTTCAAATATTTCAGAAACTAGGATGATAAGCCTTAGGATTTTCTGATCTAGGCGGCCCTTCTCTTTTGACTAAGACATCACACTGTAAAGAATAATTACATTGCAATAGCACTATCAGAGTATAAACAGAGCATGAAAGCATAGCCAGAGTAAAAGCAAAAATGTTAGCACATTCCCTGTCAGCAGACCATGCTTTACCTCTGCATATGGCCCCTACTTACCACAGCTGAAGTGCTCACTTTAAAAGCATGTGTTTATATAAYAGATACATGCCCTGAATAGCAAAAACCAGAATATGTGYTTATGATAACAACAGTAGATAYRGAGATAGACAAGAACTACAATGCTGCAAAGTCTRGAGCCAAATTCATTCCAGGTGATATAATTCAGAGGAAATTGGGCAAAAGGAAAAGAAACAAGCATTTAAAGAATATTTTAAAATTAATTCTCGTCTGTAGCAACTACGCATAACAAAAGCCAGTTGGCTGGACTTTGCTATAGATTTAAGTGATAATGGTTATGATAAATTTTCTAGTCAGTTAAGTGGGACAGGGGGTTTTCAGCATCACTGAGCAYAATAATGTGTCTAAAATGTACATGTGCTGTCATTTTCTGTAGCAAAGCAAACAGCTTATGTGAGACAAGTGGTAGAAGGACTCTTGGTTGATTTTTACTCTATACTCTCTCCTCCAGCCTCTTTTCTAGAACCGGTGTATAGGATAATCATCAGATAAAAAAACTAAAACACATCTTAGGGACCAATGAGTTTAGTAGGAAGCATTTTCTAAAAAAGTTTCTTTCCTATACCTTGATTTTAATGGSATATTCAATATAAAGGATGCTATGAAAACAACAAACGAATATTTCTAACCTTCCTGGTTGAATAAATATATATTTACCTGCCAGTTAAACGCATTCTCACCTGCAGCTGGAAAATGAGCAATACCTCTTTGCACTTAAAAAATGCTGAATTCTGTACATCTCTCCCAGGGGAGGCATCTGTTGTGTCTGCTGTGATTACAGGGTGACTGCCAGCGTGAGAGTTCAAGGTATCAGTGAGAATATTTTGAGAAAGAAGTGCATCTGTCTGCTTGAGGTGAGAGTTCAAGCTAGCAGACAATATTTTGTAAGATGCTGACGTTTATTGCAGAAGTACATCACAGATGTAGCATCTCCAAAATGGACTGCATGGGGAATCAGTGGGGGTGTTTGTTTTGAGAGAAAAAAGCTTATCTATGTCTATKCAATACCACAGAGAATCAAAAATGATCCTTTAGATTACTCACCATATTTTAAAAACCTCCATACTAAAACCTYAGTAAACAGTTTTCCTTTGATTTTTTTTTCCAGTCAGCTACCAAGGGAAAACACAAGCACTTGTTTCATAAAGCCAGGTTTACAACAGACTTCTTGGGATGTACAATTTTTATCATCCACTCCAACCCAAAAGTTTAAAACAAACAAATTAGGGAATGTAACCCTAGGGAGAGTAGAAGACATTGTAGGAGAAACACTGAAATAACTCAGTATGAAAAATACGAGAAAATATAACCCTCCTTACTGAATAAATGACATTTAAGACTTCAGGATCTGTAATGAGCCAATTAATTTGATCACAACAGTAAAAAATACAGCTCCAAAGTTTTCACAGGGGAAAGATCCAGATATGATGCTTTACAGATGCACATACACATAGAAAACAATGGGAGGAGAACTACACAAAAGCGTGCACAAAACCTCTCCTCTCCCCTGTGGACTCCTCTCTCTCCCAAGCTGTCTTTTTCCAGAGGATGTCATCCTCTTTGGGAAAGGTTCATAGACTCCTCAATGTGCGATTTGCTATCATTTCATCTGCTGTTTCAAGTCATGGACCTTAGGCAGAAAGAGAGAAATGCTTTTAATTGTTTCCACAGTCTCTGGAGAACTTTCCATGTGGGAAGTGGTATGAACTGTCTGGCTCTCTTTCCTTAAGCTGCCAATTAGGACGAGTCTCTGCAAGCAATTACGCTGCACTGAGCGGATTTCAGGAACGCTCAAATTGAGATGCCTCAAAAGGCCATTTTATTCTTGCAGAGAATGGAAAAATTGATTTGTTCTCGTGTACACTGATGATCCTTCCGTTTGCCTAAAGCCATCGCGGAACGCGCCTGCATTGCCACTGTGTGGGTCAATTGCTAATATGAGCTCAGTGAAGTATAAAAGCAAAGAGATGAGAATCATAGGAAATAAAAGAAACCAAGGGTTTGTTGCCTATCAGTAGGTAAATGAGGCACTCTGCCAATACACTTAATCATCCTGTTACTGCACAAATCAGTGGCAGTGTCAACGATCAAATAAATGGTCAGTTTGTAAAGCAAAAGCATTCCAGTGGGAACAGCTAACACTTTAGCGGGAACAAGCAGCTATAAAATAAAATAAAATCATATTGTTGCATCAGATTGAGGCTAAATTACCAGAGACAAGAACAGGAGMCACACTCTGTGCATGAATACACTTCAACAATAATGAAATTCGGGGGGCATAACTACTATACATCACTTTGAAGGTACATAGTAGAGCTCTATGTCCACTTTCATTAGTAGTTCCCTTTTTASTTTCATCACAGTAATCAGGTGGAAAAATGCAGCAAAAATGAAAATTTTTTTTTGTTTGTCAGTTATTATTATAAAGGATCATTTGCAGAGGTGAATAGTTCTAGGGGTTAAGATTATATTAGGCTGAAACTCTAAAAAAGAGTAATTAATCTAAATAAAACTCCTATATATTTTGCAGGAAAAAAGGAAAAGCATTTAGTCAGTTAACTCCTTTTAGTGTTTCATATGGTTTTCTTTAGTCCCCTATGAAGCAGGAACACAGAAGACCAAACTGAACAATTTTCCAAGAAATGTCCATCATAAAACGAAAAAGAAAAGAATGACCAAAATAAATTGCCCAACAACTGTATACACCTRACATTTTGAATGGATTCACCTTCCTGACATTGACATCAGTGTTGCTGAAGTATCTGCAGAATATTTCATCACATACTTCATCTTTGACTAGAATTTTCACTGTATTGGTGCAGTTCAACACTGTGACCCAAAGACTATTGAGTTATTGAATATTAAAGGGAACYGCTGCGATGGAAACTACACTGTGAAAGCTAAATCAGGGCAGCAGGCATGACAAARCAAACTAAATTAACAAGAATATCAGGAAGATTAGACAGACTCGAGGTCTGCTGAGAAAGATTTAGAAAGATGCTGAGTGTAGTAAAATAGTAGACCATGAAAGAGAACAGCGTGTTGAATAATCAAAGATCAATGAGTAATCGAAGATTTTCCCTGTCAGGGAAAAAAAAGGAAGTGTTTTTATATTTGGAAAATACYGATCTTTACTGAAGTAACTCTTACTGGGATCCCTAAGGATTCACATGRCCTTACAGAGAGCAAAGCTCTCAAATTTATTTATCATTCTGCAGTTTCTGAAGAGAGCAGAAAGACAATTCCAAAGGGCTTTCTGCCCCTGACTGCAGTGATCTGTTCTCAGAAACCATCCTATCTGGTAGCCTACCAGCAAGTTCTCTGTATCTTTGTGTTGGGACAAGAGAAAAGTATTAACTAGTTACTCTTCACTTGCTCCACAACCTTAGTCAAGTTTACAGAGAAAAA